ATTAATAATATGCATTGCTAAGAACTTCATTTGGACAACTTTAAAGGCACTTTTCTCAATATTTAGATTTTTTGGCACCCTCAGATTCCAGATTTTCAAATAGTTGTATCTCGGCCAAATAACAACTTGTCCCATCCTAACAAACCATACATCAATGGAAAGCTTATTTATTCAGCTTTCAGATGATGTATAAATCTCAATTTCGAAAAATTTACCCTTATGACTGGTTTTGTGGTCCAGGGTCACATATGTGTGTGTGTCTGTTTTTGCAGGAAGCTGCACAGTCAGGTGGGAGAACCGCACCATGTACTGTGTCGTCAGTGTGTTTGCAGTGGCTATTGCACTATGAGCAGGAATCAGGGCTGAGACATGCACTTACACACAGACACAGAAGGGCAAAACCACCTTCGCTCTGACCATCACATCCTCATATCTGGCTAAGACTTAAACCAACTTGTGTCATGTTTTGCCTATTCTACAAAATTTAGAGCGTATTGCTAATGCTTGTCTACTACATTGTATGTCTATTTGTTTTTTTATTTTAATTTATTTTTTTGGGTACTTTCAAAGGTAACGTGCACCTTTGCTCTGTATAGGATGAAATGCAAATATGTTGATGCTTAATTATTAAAGTTGTCTGATTTGGGTTTAACAATCCAACAATGTTCGATGATGTTTTTTTAGTCTTCAGACTTCTGAGGCATTTTCCATATCTGAAAATATATTTAAACTCTGAACCACATACAAAATATGAGGGGGAATTACAAACAATGCAAGGATGTCACTTCATGGCATAATACATGTTGAACTTTTTTTTTGGGAACTGAAACTAAATCTAAATATCAACTAAACAAAATTGAAGTCCATCTATACATCCCACATAGAATTGCTGTACAATGTTAAATAATTTCAAAGGGAGCCCACTATAACACTATTCAATTCAGTATTTGACTTTGTTTTATAGTGGTGTGCCTTTTATTGTAACAGTATTTTAATTAATCAGGAATTGATCTTTGGTTCCCCGCCATATTGCTTAACTTAAAGATTTCATAAGGTTTACTGAAAGTGCACTTAAGATAGAAGAAGCAGGATTGGTTTACACCAAAACAGTAAAATAACACATTGATCTTTATAGTACATAAAAATAAATGCTGCATCGTGCACAGCCATGATATATCTAGACCAATAACACAACATCATAATAACATAAGCTTACACTGCAAAAAATACTATTCTTAACTAGAATTTCATTAGTATAGTAAATAAAAACTTCAAAAAATCTGCCATTGCAGTGAGACAAAATCTACTTATACTCAAGATACAATATTTGAAAACAAGTCTGAATATCTTATGCAGTGGTTTTAGGATTTTTGAGTATTTTTTTTATTAGAAAAGTTCTGATACATATGAGTTGACACACTTTGAAGCACATCAGAAGTTTTCTTTGTTGAATATAAACTCAGTTCCAGATTCAGTGTGTGAAATGCACTGCTTTCCCAGAGCTGTGGCCAAAGCCATAGGACCACATAGAAAAACGCCTACTTTTGAACTGAAAGAAAGAAGACGAAAAAATACTAGTTATTAATGCACAGCAAGTGTAGAAAGCCTTAACTGCTGTTATTTACCACACTCTACGTACCCTGGGTGTTGGGTAGCAATGGCACTGAACTCATTGTCCCAGTTGGGTTTACCGTACAGAGTCTTCTGCTTAAGCCCAGTAATGGGATCATCTTCCGCCTCATATTGAACTCTAAAATGGGCCGCCTTTAAACAGTAATCAAAATGAGTGCCAAAGTATTTTTTTGTGTTTTAAGGAAGTTAAAATAGTTCACAGTGTCATTAAACAAGCAAGTCTTTTCGCCCACCTCAGCATCCTTCCAGCGCGTTAGATAAATGTTGTAACTAAGGAAATCGCTAATGTCTTTCTCCATCATCTGTCTTTCCAAACTCTGCAGCAGGTCTGCAAACCATTCGAAAGCCTGTGTCTCCGGACACAGCCAATAGAAATAGATCTGCAGAGGTCAAGGTTCAGAACATTACATGTTTAGCTAAAATATGAATGAATTCTTTAAGGCAAGACACTACAGACAAAACCACTGTTTTTTGAGGTTCTCGTCAATTTTGAGATTTTAGGCTATTTTGCTTCCATAACTTGACTTCTTTCAGACTAGTGGAAAGAAAACATCCACACATTTAAGTGTTTATTTTATTACACTTTATCTATTTGCATCTATAGAGTTGAATTAAAATACATATCTTTAATGGTTGTTTCCTCTAAATGACTTTTTTCTCATGCACTGAGCTATAAAAAGGGGGGAAGTCGTGGCCTAATGGTTAGAGAGTCAGACTCGTAACCCAAAGGTTGCAGGTTCTAGTCTCGTACCGGCAGGGATTGTAGGTGGGGGGAGTGAATGTACAGCGCTCTCTCCCACCTTCAATACCACGACTGAGGTGCCCTTGAGCAAGGCACCGAACCCCCAACTGCTCCCCGGGCGCCGCA